TAACTCCCTTAAATATTAGATCATTTAAGCCAATTCCAATGTATTGTGGTCGTAAGTGTCTTGAACTTCAAGTACGTACCTGAAAAGAACTTCCAACAACGTACTTAACTTATTTTCCATGGGATCATTAGAGGAACATGCATCCGGGCGTTTTCCTCATACTAGACATTCAATATCATCTGCAATGCTGCTCTAGCACTCCAATGACGACTAGAGCTCTAATCTCCTCTCAAGCCTCCAAGCGTGGCTTAGAGGCTTTCCGTCCTTTGTTCGTCCTTTCCGCATTTCTTGTCAGAATGTCCCGAAATGTCCAGACTAACATCGTTAACATATATTAAATTATTTCAAAAGTGAGCATCCCAAACAGCACAGGTATATCCCAAAGATATCCCAGAGATATCCCACGGGACAAGTGCAATGTCCCAGAGACAAGGAGTAGAGACATCTTAGGGATATCAAAATGTCTGGGCCTAATGACATCCCAAGGATGTCCCTTTCTTGAAGAAATAGCATATCCCAGAGATGTCCCAGGGAGATCCCCTTGGGGCAAGTGAGAAGTCCCAGGTAGTACTTGTAGGGGCCTTCCTGTCCGCAATGGACTCATTTCCTACCGCACAGGAGAACCCTTTGCTTTCGTAGATGTCTCTATTTTATCTACGATCACCTAATCTAAAGTTCTTCATCGAATGAAGAGTGACGATTACGGGGGAGGAAAATACCGTTCCTAAAGAGAGCCCCATCATAGGAGACGCATCTCCAAGAGACGAAATTTAGCATGGATGATATGACGTCTAATGCCTTTCAAACAGTATGGGCTCAGGCCTCCAACCAATGTAGTTGTGTCCAAACATGCCGATTAGACATTAATGAGAATATAAAGGAATAAAATTCGGACCGCAATTTTTTTCCTTTCCCTGGTGACAGTTTTCCTTATGTATGGTACGAAAATCCTTACTTGTCCTCAGGACAAATCAAGTAGATGAATTCGATAGAAAAGATCTGAGGTTGCAGATCAGGGCTCACGGGAGACATCTACCGTCGAAGCTATGCACCTGACTGAAGGCGACAGAGAGCACTGAAGATGCCTAAAGGCATCCCTAAGATGTCCCTAAGACATCCTCCTCAAGATATCGAAAAGCCTTCGACTGAAGATATCTTCAAGATATCCCGATATGGATATCTCTAAGATATCGACTGAAGATGTCTCAAAGACGTCCCCAAGACATCCCTTACGAGATGTCCGAAACTGTCCGAAAGAAGATGTCTTCAGGACATAAAGGACAGGACAGGACATGTCTATAAAGACATGGGGACAAGTGGTCCAGTTAGGGACATCCCTGGGATATCCCTGTGCTGTGTGGGATGCTTCTTTCTTCAGTAGAGGCAGGCAGTAACCGGAGCGCCACTCCTAAATGCGAGAACACGTTTCAAGTTGGATTGACATTTTGATGGCCAGCGCCCAGGTAATGAATGGCAGTCTCACTTTGACCTCACGGTATCAGTGACATCTATTGGCCGTTTATCGAATTCAAAAGCCATCACCGATATGGCAATGACATCTTGGTGTTTGAATCCTTGTGAAGTTGCTTTTCGAACAACCCTCGTACAAGATAATCTCTCGAATCTGTTTGATGCCTGCCCTGACAGCGGAGGGTGTTGAAAGTTGCAGTATGTTATTGACCAGAATTGTCAATTATTGAAGCCTTTTTCATGCCTGAAAAGTTGGATCAAGTCGTCAGAAACGACTGAGTCTGACTGAGTCAGAGAGTCACTTTCACGGTTAAAAGTATGCAATTAATCATGTCACCGACTTTAGCGACAGACTCTTGAAATATAAACCGTCTTTGCGAAAGATCTGCTGTACCAGGGATTCACTCTCAATATGTGAGCCTATCAGGGAAATAACAGCTATAAAACCTAAGTGTCAGTAATCTAAGCACATTTCCAGATTTTATTCAGCCATTCTGCTCGCTTGGTTCCAGGGAGGCGAATCCGACTTCTAAATCGATCGAGACGGACAGTCATGACCCAGGCGTGTTCGGAAACGGGGACGCTCTCACGTCTCGAGACACGGAATGTCAAAGAACCCTAGTGGTGAAGGTAGAATCTGGATCGTGCATCCAAGAGTAATCCACGATCCAGCATCGTCGGTCGATCGGTTGGTAGCGTGCTTGGTTCTCGTGACGTGCGACCTGGGTTCGTAATCGACCGACCCACACGATTTTTCTTCCTGGCACAGACCTCGGCGTGCCCAGAAAGGGAGGTCCCTGAGTACTTGGCACTCCCTTTTCGAGACGTGGGACATCAAAGAGCCTCAATGGTGAAGACATAACCAAAGTAGCAGATCCCCGGAATAACCACAAGAGCTTACTTGGGTGAGGTTCAAGTGGGATTGGGTCTGAGACAGTATTGGGCAGCAATTGAAATAAAATTATTTTGAAAAATGCTTTTCTTTGAACAATTGTAGAATTTTCTTATTTTGCATTTCAAGCACTGTAACTATTATGTATTTAAAATTGGTTTATGTAATACTTCAATACAAGTAATTCGTACTTGCATGTGCTGACTAAAATTCAAAATAAAGTATTTTGTACTTCCATATGTAATTGGAAGCATTGGAGTTTTAAAAATCAAAATACTAATTTTTTTCTGAATAAAATGCTTGAAATGCAAAATTAAAAAATTGCTACATATGTTTAAAAAAAGCATTTTCCAAGTAATTCTATTTCAATTATTGCCCAACACTGGTCTGAGATGGATGAGAGGGCTTACTGGAATTCTAGGGCGAAGGCTCATTCATGGGTTTGAGCCTCGTGCATTTGGTAATCTTCGTATCGCATCGCATCATACTGCGCACAGCAAGACACTAGCGGGATTCGCGGGATAGAGATGGCAGGGATCACGGGTTTGCTTGCTTACTTGCTTATTTCCTTTAAAAAAAGCTGTCGATTTAGCTCTTTGCTACGAAATGTCTCAAGATGAAAGGGCTAGTTTTAGGTTCGATAGCAACAGCAATGAAAGTGAACGGCAACGGCGTCCCACCATTAACTCTTACGTGGAAACGGTGTTCCCAAATCCGAGAGGGTAGGGGGGGGGGGGGGGAGGGGTTCTCTTTGAAGACCGAGCGCTTGGATTCGAGGGTCAAGCCATTTCACGTCAGGTCATCTTGTTTATGGCATAAACTCCCTCACCACTAAAGGGAGGACATATAAACCAAGGAGACGAAGGAGACTTTATTCACAGACCTCCAAAACCGACAAACTGAGAAAAGCAAAAAATTGTATGTGAAACTCAATGCGCCGGAGAGACGGACAGACTGCAAAAAAAAGGACAAGAAGCCTGGAGCTACAATGTCTACAGCATCATCACAGGTTAAGAGAACCAAAGATGGAGAGATAATCATCAGTCGGAGTCACTTGGTTCTCCGCTCGCGGTGGATCCGCTGTCTTCTCCCCCTGGGAAAAACGAGCACAGCAAGATGCTAGAATAATCTCATCTCGACTAGACAATCATCGCAATTACCAACGGCCTTTCTCATTCCTCCTCTTTCCTTGGCTAATCTACGTGGGTCAGCAGGACTAATGAAGACAGATTGATGAAAACAGAAAAGAGGACAGGCAACTTTTGTTCTCTCCTTTTCTAACCGTATTCATGACATTTTTATGGAAAGACTGAGGCACTGTGGGCGGCAAGTAGATCTCCCCTATCGATGCCTTTCGATTAAAGCGGGAGAGTTTGAGCTTTAATTTACCTCATTATATCACTGCGAACGCAGCATCATACACAGATTCTGATTTCATTGTTCTTCAAATCTCAAAGTAATTTATGCACATGGAGTGCTAGAATTCTTTTCCCTGAGAAGGAAGGTTATCCGAGAGGTGAGGAAAAGACAAGGTGGGGTAGGAAAAGTAAAATTCTGTGAGATGTGTGCTGGCAATGTCGATTAGCCCATAGGAGCCACAGAAGGGGAAGGAAAGGGTGGGTGCTAGGGAGGTCCAAGAGGGCACGGGGAGGGGCCCTTTCCTGAATGACCAACTGCGGACACTATACTGCTGCTCCATCTGCAGCATCTCGGTCTAAATTAAATAAACCACTATTAGTGAAATGGACTCCCCTGCTCCCCGGCCTTACCACTCTCTAATTGCTCAGCCCCAGCTGAAGTGGTCCGAGAAACCCACCTACATTTATCACAAGTAAAAAGAGAAATATATTTCTCCCCCAAGGACTAGTGAATACTGAGTACCACGGACATATTTGTCCAAAACAAAATCCGGGGCATCGAAGACTTGCGTAGAGCAATATTCGATTCTTGGCCAGCCGTGCCCTCCGCTCGTTAAGGCGCACAAATAGATAGTGGTGAGCACACCATTGAATGGAAAAAGCATATCGAGTACTTATATTGATTAAATACGTCACTAATGCTGCGTATATATACATGTAAAGATAGGGGCTTCCACTTTCTTTTTTTTTTGGGGGGGGGGCAACTTGCAATGTCAATAATAGATTCTCGTGGCAACTTGATCGTAAGGAGCTCATAATAAACCGAAGCCCAGAGAAACGATGAAACGAACATCATCCACAATCCCTACAGTGACCCAAGTGCAAATGGCAGTTTTTGCAATTGGTTTATCCCTATTTGTTTTTTTTTTCTCCGTTTAGCCTGCTCTCTTCGCCTAGGGCAGAGATGTGCAACCCGCGGCCACCCAGCCCTTAGTAACCATAAGTAATCCCTAAGAAATAAACTGAGTCCTTTCACTTCCATTCCCTAATTATTCCTCTCAATGGCGCTTTTGCAAATGTCCCGAGGAAGGAGGTTCTCAATGACAAGGCTATTTTTGAGCGTTGGAATTTCCTGGGGGTGGGGAGGAGGTGAGGGTCGTCGGTCAATCAACCTTAAAAACATAAGGTTGCGCTGAGGCCCTATGCCTTATCTAAGTACATAACGACCGGCGAGGGTCGTCGGTCAATCAACCTTAAAAACATAAGGTTGCGCTGAGGCCCTATGCCTTATCTAAGTACATAACGACCGGCGGATGTCTGTATGACCGGATTTTTTCCAGTGAACTCTCCCATAAGAAAAAAAAACCTAATTTCCCTCGCATGCATTGGGAGATCGTACTCGAGTACCGTTGACATGTTAGACTGCCTTATTGAGGATTCGCGAACATGTATTGAAACGAACAGGACCAGCTACACCTTTATGTCAGATCTTACCTCACCTTGAGTAGAGATGAGATCAAATAAGGTAGATCTTTAGGGTATCAATGAGCGAACAGATTCAAGCGGAGTCTGGAGATCAGGGGGGCTTGGAGGTACTGTAGCCAATTCAAGGATGCAGTTCAATGCCAATGTTAAGGATGCCATTTTAAAATTGTTTTTATTTTTCCTTTGCATGGCTATTGTTATCCCTGTCTCCATTTTCTTAGGCGGATTCTTAACCATTAAAAAATATCGAAATCTCTCACTTCTCAAGATTGAGCTCATCCTTTCCACAGCTTGATATTTCATGTTGAGCATGTTTTCATGCTGGATTGTTTATGGGTGCTGCATGCTAGAAATGCTGCCCATGAAATTTCAAAACCATTTTTCAAGGCCTACCACACATTTTGAATACAAATTGGTATCAATTTCACCCGAGTTGTTGGGGCAAAAATGAAACATAAAGAATAAGATATTGCACAGCAAGCACCTTCTGGATTTGACCATTTTGGGGATGTGCACTCTTGTGATGTCTTACACCTCACGAGGACACATGCTTCACAATTGACAATCAGTGTGTCATGCAGTATTTAGATTTTAAAGAGTATGATGGTGAAATACAGAGAGGAAACATGTATGAAAGCTGTTCAGAGAGGAGAAAGCATTTGAATTTCCCACTTCTCCATACAGGCAATGATGCTTTATTTTTCTTTCTCACAGCCCAGACAATCAGCATGTGGGGTGGATCTTACCCACTAGCACTAACTAAACTCCTCAGGAAGTCCTGAATGCTGGCTAACTGGAGAGGTTTTAATGGGATTGGAGATTAGCTAAACTGTCATGCTGGTAGCCCTCTTGTCTGGAGTGTCAAAAGCATGCCATCAAGGGTACAGGTTTCCACTAACCCACTTTTGGACTGGTGGAAATAATTAGTGATAGCAATAGCTTCAGGTATGGTGTAAAATATGGCACTGGATTCTGCTGGAGGGAGAATGCAATTCTGGTCCCTAGTTTCATGGCACCCATTTCTCTTGATAAAACAAGATGAATCCCACCAAGAAGGAGATAAATATTAATTGACCAAAGGGAGAGTATCTCTGCATTAAACATGGTGCTACAACACCAGGAAAGTACTAAGTATTTGTTAATACTGTTCTAAATACAAGTACAGACCTTAGTGGCTGTATAAAAGCTCTATAGTGCTCACCTGAAATGCTGCCACTCCTGCTCCGGACAGGACTGGCATTTCTAGATGACTTCTGAGTGTTGTCTTCACTGTCAGAACCAGATACAGACTTTCGGGATTCAGCAGGAGATAAGGACACTGACCGAGACCCAGAGGCTGAACGGGATCCAGAACCAGATTTCTGAGACCCAGAGCGTGATGATGCATGTGATGCAGAACGTGACCTGACAGGTGAACTTGACCGGGATCCTGATCCTGATCTGGCAGGGGAAGCTGATTGGGAACGAGATATGGAGCCAGATTTCTCAGAGGCAGGACTCCTGGACCGTGACACACTCCGAGAACCTGCCCTGGACCTTTGATAATGCATTTGATATCACAGTGAGGGATACAGCCGGGTTACAAAAAACAGGTGTACATAACAAGTATGATACCTTGCAGGGCTAGCAGATCCACTTCGACTGCTTTGTGCTGAATTTGAGCGTGAAGCAGATCCAGACTTTGAGGCAGACCTTGACCTGAAGAGGAACCAATGTAAAAGCCTCGTGAAGCTTCAAGCAAAAGTTTCAAGTAAAAGTTTCACATGGAGTTTCATTCATATAGAGCAGCATCACTAATACAAAAAAACCCCATGAAGTTGAAGAAAGAAGACTAACCTTGAATGACTCCTGCTTTGAGAGCCTGAATCAGAACCAGAACTGATCCTTCGCTTCCTTGGGGTAGTTCCCCCTTCTCCACTATCATTTCTGTTGAATTCATGAATGAAATTGTGATCAAGGTCATAAAGAATATCTCCTTGGAATGTAACATTTTCCATAAAGCAAATTTAACAGTTCACTTTTTTTCAGAGCCAGGATGTCCAGGCGGTTGATCATCAGAGTCAGAACCAGAGGATGAGGATATCACAGCTCGGGAAACAATCTTCCTTCGCTGTTTCCCAGATAGGCCTGCATCTGCATTTACTCTCCCCTTTCCCTGCTTTTCCTATAGTTGAAAGGAAAATAGTTGGCAGTATTGCATTGCAAAATTTCTGGGGAATTATATTGCCAGGACACGTGCTTTAGTCTGTTGAGGTTTCCGGTTTCTCTTCCTCTTAGGCTGATCTCCACCACCAGCACCATCACTCCCACTGGAACCTGCAGCATGTTCTTTGCGGCTTCTTCGTCGTCCTTTCCCTTTTCCTTCTCTGAAAATAGGAAGGATCATATCTGTCAATATTTGTAATTTCCAAGGTCAGGAGTACTATTTTCAGATCCTACCCCTCTGGTGAGACATGCAACAATACTCCTTTATGGTAATTTCACTGGAGTTCCATGGATGCAGCCTCTGATGGTTGAATGCCTACCGAACTTACCATACTTCCTCCATGTAAAGCCTGAGATTGGGATATTCCTTGCTAGACATTGGCTAGTAGACTCTCTGACAATATTTGCCATCTACTGGGTATGGTAGAAAAAAAGACCAACTACTTTTAACCTGCATACCTAACAGACTCTTGAAATTCCATCAACATTTATATTGCCCAAATTAGGCAATGAGCAATTATGAAACTCAATAGTAGAGACATTCAATGTAGCCTGGTTGATAAGGAATCAGGGCACCTGGACCTGTCCTCTGTCAGGATTAGCTCATATCCATTTTCGTTGGCCAACCTCTTTTTAATCTTTGATCATAGCTCTGCTTAAGAGCAATAAAATTGGGAGAAATTTAGAATCATGTTGGAAACATATCCATTTATGCATTTAGAAATTTTCATTTTACCAATAGATCTCAGCTCAAGTGGGAGCTGAGATATGCCCTGCATATACAGGGATAGCCAAAAAATGTACCTCATTTCAAAGTTACATAACTTTGGCAATTTTGAACTGATTTGTTTATTTTATTTTAGGTTTTATTGTGTACACTTCTGAGGGTTTTTTGGCAAATTTTTCAAAGCAAATGAACAAAAATGGGTTTAAGTATAGAACAAAGAACAAAAGTAGTAGGATTCTTCTTAGACACAAAGTCAGTGGTGGAGACACGAAGCTGTTACTGCTGTCATTTTAATGAACTACTAACACCTGTTCATTTGTGCACGCATATCAGCATCTGTTGGCTCTTGTTTGATTTGAATTTTGTTGGGAAATAATTGCAAATCCTTTTTTCCAATCTTTGGGTTGATGTTTGTGATAAACCAAGCTCTTGTGATCTTCATGACAGTTCCCTAGGGCTCCACATAACAGGTGCTCTCACTGCTGTGATGCTTCCTTCAGTCCAAGCAGTCCTACACATTCCAGATGCTCCTTTATTTTGATTCACAACTGATTACTCTTCTCTAAACTTTGAAATAGTGCAATATATTGTTTTTTTTGTTGGTGTTGTCCAAACATTTTCCCACTTTCCTCCAATGAGATGCAGCTGATTAGTTGGGCAGGAATGGTGGGATTAGGATTCTATCCAACCAATTGGTAGCACCTATAACACTTAAGACACCCTTAAGGTACCCTCTGCTACATGGCAACCATCCTGCTTCCTTCTAGGTTTTCATTCACGAGTCATAGGTTGATATGAATAGTCAAGCAGATGCACTTTGTCAACCCTGACACAGCAACTGCATGGGACAGTGACCTACAGATAGATGGAAAACTGGAAAAATTCTGACACCTGCACCCCCTGCTCTGGAATGCTTAAGTCCAACTTCCTGATTTATTAGCATTTCTTATCTGCTTCTGATTGCCACATGGATGGAGTCTCAATTTTGCTACTCTCTACTATGTAATGAAACAAGGATCGAGGGAGAGGACTGCTCTGCACAGAGAAAGTCCTCTTTCTTTGAGGAGAGGAGTAAGTATGCATAATTTGCAATACCCCTCTACTTTCAATATGGATTTTGTTTGCATTCAATAGTGGCTGAGTGGCAGTTCCCAACGACCTCTTTACAATTTCCAGTTTGGCAGTGGCTTGATTGAATTCAATCATCAAATTGTTATCTAAATCAACCTATGGCAAGTGGTGACAGCTCAACTCAGGCTTTAACTTCAAGTCTCATTATGGTAAATGGCCTGCTGTGAATAACAAAGAAACTCTCTACCTTCTCCCTTCTTTCCTTCGTTTCTTTGGACGAGGCTCTCGATTCTCTGCATCAGACCTTTGAGGTCCTTCATCAGATGACCCTTCACTGAGTATCTCTCCATCTTCCCTTCGTTTCCGTCTTTTTGCTGACTTCTCCTTCTCAGGTAGCACCTTGAACATGACTGCATTCTTCATCTTCTCTTTGTACTCCTCTCTCTTTCTCAGTTGTGCCTCCTTCTCTGCTCTCTTCTGTTCTTCAAGTCGCCGCTACCAAGATCATAAACCATAAAATCATTTCTGCACTGCTTCAAATAAAAACAGTGAACCCTCGATATAACACCACTGTTCATCTTCACCAAATTTGACACTCTGACGAGGGCGGCATTTTATCAAACGAACCACAGAATCCCAGTGGTTATGTTAGTGAAATCTTTTGTAGAAAATATTGAATAAATGGATGTAAAGCTTATGTTACTATCCTTAGCCCCTTCAATATTCTATACTTTTTCCATGTAAAATGTGTTCCACAGATAGGAGTCACCTCTCACAATGGCAACAAAATATTTAGCCATGTTTAGTACTGGATAAAGGTTGTGACACATATGCTTCCTGGTGCAAAATCAGGGAGGATTTATGTGGAAAAAAAAAAATTTCATACTAATGATAATATTGGAGGATGGTGGCTTTCAAGACAAGTGCTAGAACAGAAGTGAACTTAAGCTTATGGAGATGATTTGTTCTTGGAGAACAGTTGACAATGAGCAAGGATGGCAATATACTGAGTGGTGGTATATGGATGGTTGACCCTAGGTATAAATTTTGTCAGAAGTCTGACAAAATGGAGTATGCAATTTTGAACATTTTCAGGAGGGGAAGAACATGCCTATTTCTCCAAGAGAAGAATGAATATTGAGAAATATCCACCATTGTACCACAGAGTTGAGTCTATGCTCCATAGTGCAATCATAATTTGCAAAAAATCATTCTTTTGCCTGGAGGAAAGGTGAATTATTGTCCTGGAAACTTTCACTTTCAAGATTGCATATTTGCCCTTTCATCAGACTTGAGATGATATGTAACTTTGAATATAATGGTGACATGCTGATACCAAAGTCCTTTCATATTATACACCATAGCTACAGCTTCTAGATCAAACTGCTTCCCCCTTACATGGCTGTTGCATAACCCTTTGTGTGATTTCTTGATCAACCATTGATGAGCTTAAGTATTGGACATCTACAATACCAGAAAAATTAGGAACTTTTTTATTCAATACTGTATTCATGAATTTCATGTGCAACAGTATCTACAGGAGAAAATTTCCAGCAATTTTCAGAATAAATGTTGCACAGCATTTTGGCTTCCCTGTAGGATTTAAGTCATGAAATATTTATTTGCTTGTGACCTTCTGTGACATTTCCAGAAAATCCATAATACATTTTCCAAGGCTGAAGACTTATATTTTAAGAAACATTCGTAATAGATTTCAGAGGAAAGCCTTAAGTGCCTTCAGCCTTCACAAATGAAGTCACTTTTTACTTTAAAAAAAAATACCACTTGCCACTTCCAGGAAATTCATTATAAATGTTCCAGTACTATACACATCAAACACAAGCTATACATATAAGTCTATTGTGGAAGCAGGCATATGGATAATAGGATATTGTGGAAGCAGGCATATGCATGATAGGATGTCTTCTCAATCAGGGTCACATGCAATACAAAACATACTAAACCACAAAATGGGAGTATTTTGCTTTTCAATTCCATTCTGGTCCTATTTAGCCAAAAGGTATCACTTATGGAGACAGCATGGCCTACCTGCTCTTCGAGTTGTTTCTGCCTGAATGCTTCCCTTTCCTCTTCCTGTTTACGGCGCAAAGCTCTTTCCTCCTCATCTGCTCGTCGAGCTCGTGCAACGTGATACTGAGCCTGAGATATGAGGTCAAGGCAGTGGCGGGACTCTGCTGCAGCCCAGTCCAAGTTGAATTTCATTTTGTCACCACTCTTGCTCAAATATTGGAAGTATCTGAAAGAAAAACTGATTTTTAATGCAAGCACAAATTATACAGGAGAAATAAGGATTTCCACTCATGGGTGAAAACCATATCTGGAAGAGAAAACAGCTGCAATCCAAGATTTCATTATCATTTGTCTTGCCATCAATTCAATCTTGGCATATTTTCATTAAATAGAAAATAGAGAAATGAATCCTATCCCTTTTTCATGTGACACACAAGCAAGTATCAACTCTCATGAGGCAAGATAAAAGCCACCAGCATCCTGATAAAAACTCTCTAGACAATTGTTAATCCCATCATCACTTGACTTCAAATTGGTACAGAAGAATCTGCTCTGTGCTAGCCTCTGCATACTTGGGATTTAACACTCACTCATAAATTTTTTTGGCCTACCTTTTGAGGTTCTTAAAGAAACATCAAACAGCAAGTAAGAAAAAATGAATTTTAAAAGTAGTCCTTGGGTCATAGGACCTGAATAGGAAAGCACATATTGCTCTGAGATAGTGACTTCTGTCAATTTAAAAACCCACAAAAACGCATATATAGGCAAATTCAAGAGTTTCTACATATTTGTGCATTCATCTACATGTTCACATGAGCAAAATCTTGCCAAAGTGAAGACCCACTCATGATCATACCATACACAGTCATTGTCATTTATTTGTTGGGCCTCCTTTGGCCTGGATGACAGCATGAACCTGTCCCAGCCAGAGCATGTTATCAGTCTTTCTTCATACTAGGACAATATGGAATGCACCTGATGCAGGGATAAACCTAACAGTGGTGAAAATAGACTTCCCACCAACTGCAGCCCAATAACCATATCTCCATGGTGAGTATTGATCCAGGGGTCTCAAGAGGCAATAAAAACCAATAAATAATTTTGTCTTTGCTGGGTTTCAATTAGTGTGCATGCAAGTCCCCACAGTATAAGATTTTGAAGGATCCTAAAGGGACACTCCACATTTCTAACTCCAAAGAAATAAAATTTAATTTAATAAAAATTCCCTTGAGTACATCATTTGTTGGCACTGGATTGAAAGAGTGTCTTTCACCCTTTTCCTGCAGGGTAAACCCAGAATTGATGCATAGGGTGTCTAATTTGCAGGAAAATGGGATCACTTCAGGACTTTTAAGGAAGAGATCAATAAGTACATACTTCAGCATATTTCCTCATTTTCCTGCAAATTTATGTGCATGTTTCAGCAGTTCTTAGCAAATGAAAACCAACTCCTTAACAACTCTAGGATCATGTAAGACAAATGAGAAACTGTCAAAAAAGTGTGTATCCACTAATGCACTGACCCATGAGAAATTTTGAGTTCATGAACAGCCTGAAGTACTGTCTTCAGATTAGACTTCTCATCCTTGAGAATTTGCATGGCAAGACGTTTGAGAACCAGAGCAATGTTGAACAGGATAACAGTATCCTGTGGAGCAACATGTCTTGCTCGGAGCAGTGTCATCTTGGCTTCCTTGTATTTCCCCATCCGGAAGAAAGCTCTTGCCAGATATTGCAAGACTTCCACATTATGATGCTTGAAGAACTTCTTCAGACAGTTCTCATACTGTAAGAAAACAACATCTGTCATCAGCTTGAAGAATTCAGGAACTAATGCTCACAAACAGGAAAGCAAAAAACTCACCATCTGAATGGCAGAGACATATTGCTTCTGTTCAATGTAGATGTGGGCAATATTCAGCCAGACATCACAAAAGTCAGCTGTAGCTTCCCTTACTTGGGCAAAAATGTCTCTTGCTTCATTGATGTAATTCTTGTGAGCCAACACACACCCTGATATGTCAATAAGAATTGCACAATACCTTATTCAACTGTTCTACTGACAAGCAAAACAATAGAGTGGTAGAAAAATGCCTACAGCTAACTCAGCTATAGTGATGAAGAATGCCTAGTCTCAGCCTTAAGCTCAAAGGGTACCTGTCTATAATTCGCTTATAGTGAGCTCAGTTATTGTGAGAACCTATATTATAATGAAGTCAATTAATGGCTCCACTGACAGGAAAGAGAACATTGTTAGGTACCTCATTTGCATTATTGCATGATTTGCATGATGAATTCATGATTGGGAACTGGAATTTCCATCATCACAAATGTGACCAATGACAACCCACAACTTTCTCCATCCTGGAATCTGCTTTCTCTAAGGATTGCATGGCTATGACTGCATGATGGAGGGTAAGAAAGGGATAATTCCTAGTCACCAACAGATAATCTAATCTTCAGTTGTCATTCTTACTTCTTGTTGACAGCATGGGTACTTGATGTTGACTAGGATCACAAAGAGGAAGGAGAGGATATTCAAGTGTCCTTTATCAACATCATATAAAACTTGTCAATTGATGAAATAGCTTTCATGATTTTCTTTTAACTGCAGGAGTTGGATGCACTAGCCAAGGACAATGAAGCAGCAGTTGAGACTGTTGAATGTATCTTCTGGGAAACATGTGTGAAGCGATGCAAGAATACAGGTTTCCTTACCAAGCAATAGGCATACAGTATAGTAAAATAACACAGTATATGACTGATAAGTTGTACAGCAGAGTTTCACAAAGCATGTTCTTGAAAACACAGAAATTGAATGCAAATAAGGACAACCCTGCTTAAAACAAACTTCAACTTTAATTCTCCCTAGCTGTCTGGGATCTTTTTTGATCCCATTGGATGAAAACTCCTGAAATCATCATGATTCATGTAATGAACAACCCAAATAAATATAGGATGTTTCATGGTTCACTGGGATATTTTTTATTTGCATATGTTGTGTACTGCCCATAAATGATAATCACCTTATCTGACTTGAGCTATCGCCATGAATCTAGTAAAATGTAGTCAGGAACAGAACGGGGTCAAAATAGACTTCAGACAGCCTTCATGTTAGTTACAAGTTGATCACAAGAGAGGGTTAATGATGATTCTTTCCTGATCCCTTCAATGAAGTTATTACTAATTATGACAGTATAATCCCAGAATCACCATTACCAATGCCATTTGCTGCCCAAATGTTGCATGGATCATGTCTGAGGACTGTGCGGAAGAAATTCAGTGCTCTTTGTTGATGCTTCTTCTCTTTCTCCTTGTCTCTGGTAGGCTGATGAAGTGTCTGAAGCCAGACATTACCCAAGGCAATTAGCGAATATGGATCATTTTCCGTCTCTCGATTCTGCAAGTAGAAAATGACTATAAAGTTTCATCTGCATTTTTTAGATATTGGGGTTCCTATTGAGGGCATTTACCTTGAGAATCTTTTCAAACTTCTTCTGACCAGGCTGCCATTCCATCTTTGCCAAATGAAGATTCCCAAGCAAGGACCAGGCATCAGGATGCTCATTATTAATCTGCAATGCTTCTTTGAACCATTCTGAAGCATCATAAATCTGACCTCGGTCCCGTGCCATGCAACCAAGCCTGAGGTAACCTGGATAGACAAGAAGTTCAATGCATACAAGGACATATCCCTGATACAATTGCTGAAGGTTCAACATACAATCCACATAATTGGGATGCTCCCTCAATATCTCCTTGTAGAATTTTTCAGCTCGATCATTCTGAAATAGGGCTTCAAAGAGTCGTGCCAGATTGTACGTGGTTGTGACAGAGATGGCACTGTAGTACTGTTGATCATGCTCTGATTCTGCCCTGCACCTCTCAAGAGCTGTCTCAAAGTTCACTTTAGCTTCTTCCAGGTTTCCCAACCTGAAATAGTAATGCAATTCTCCTGAGTACCACATTAATTACATAATTTTACCAAATACCAACAATTTATTGTCATTGAAATGTACAATTAGAGTATGTAGGCTTACCTGAATTGCAAAGCTCCAACATTGTTGAGGATTTCAGGAGGGATGTCAACTTGGACAGTATCTTTCAACAATCTAATGGCAGTCATGTATCCATTCAAGGCACCCTGTAGATCTGTGCCTTCTAATATCTGAGCCAACTCAATCCATGCTTCCACATCATCAGGACACTGCTCTGTCACCTGAAAAGAAAAGTATAGAAAATAAATAAAAATGAAGTCCAGGTTATGGAAACTAAGAACCTATATGACTTACCTTCTTCAGGTGCTGCTTGGCAATTTCCTTCTTTGATTGTGATGAAGATTGGGCATACAAAGATCCAAGGATCTTCATTGTTTCATAATTCCCAGGTTGAGCTTTCAAGACTTTCTCAAAGCACTGGGCAGCCTAAACAGCAAGGAATGCAATAAATTCAAATTGGACCAATAGTTTGGCCAAGTAGGGGAGGATGGGGTACCATGGGTCACATTTTTTGGGAGCCTGCAACTTAGGCATTTTTATTCCTCAAAAGCAATGGAAGAGTCTTTACACACAACTTGTGTGTAAAGACTCACATCACCTGCACAATCTCGTGCTTCAAATTAGTCAACCTACAAGTGCCATGTGATAATGTCATAAGTCATCACCATGGGTCAGTGTCCAGGGTACAATAAGCCATCCCCATAATTATAGCTAAAATAAACTTCAGTTAACCCAAAGTCATCATGCAAAGAAGTCTTTGCACCACAGGAGGCACAGGAGGCACTCGAATATTGATGCACTTCACCAAATTTATCTAGAAAAATTAGGAACCTTTAATTGGAAAATAATATATGATTCATTTCATGTCCAAGAATATCACATCTGCTGGTGTTGAACCTTTCAGAGTCTTCTGCTTCTAATTGCACTTTATTAGAGTGTAAAAAGACTGCAAAGGAAATCCTGATTCGCATTGGCAAAAATCAGGAAACATTTGGCGCACTGAGTTATGACCCATCGTGCCCCAACAGGAGCAATTGAAATGAAATCAATATTACAACCAGAGTAAGTTGAGATTGTAGCTCATACCCACAGGCATTGAATTACCTATTCCAATTCCAGTAAGAATCAAGACTTTTCATCAAATGAAACAAATAGCAAAAATTGAGACATCACTGTCAACAAAAACGAAAAAATGTATTCTACAGAAAAACGCCCACACAATTTGCACTTTGGGTGGGGACTACTCTTTATTCAACTACACTTTCCTAGCACCTTAGCTGGAAGACATGTGGAAGGCAGATGACATGATAAGAAACAGAGCTGGGAGAGCTACAGGGTGGGCCACTTAAAAGTAGCCCGCCTCTGGTCTGAACATTGCGGAGGTGATCGCCCCTTGCACACTGTTCTTACTGTCACAGTATTATAGGAGGCGGGTTACTTTTAAGTGGCCCACCCAGTATAAACAGCCTGACCCATTGTGCCACACTCTCCCCTATATTAACTTGAGTTCTTATGAAGACTTCTGCTTTGACAGAGAAGCTCTAACTTTTGCTCTTCTTGCATCAATGTTTAAGATGACCACCCATGGAATGCCAAAATCATGCAAATAATTACTGTCACATCTCATGGAATTCTGGAGGAATTCCACATTCCCTAACAAAATAGTGAGGACTGATAAGCATAGGCTGGCCTAGAGCTTGAAAGTCAAAGGATGCAGAGCAGTGCTTTATAGAGCTGTTAATATAGTTCAATCAACCCCATCATCTTTCATCAGTTGTGTTTGTCTATTATAATCATATGTGGATGCCATGCTTATGTGCTTGCTTTCATTCTCATGAAAATATGCTTCTAGTCATAATTTACTTAAGGAAACAGGATGGGCCAACAATCTGCTTGGGCAAAACTGTGAACACCACTACGGTTGGCTAAACTTTACCTTTCCAGATCTTTGATGGTCACCATTGCAAATTAGTAAGAAACTAGAGTAAATGTGTATCATTTTGCCAAGCTTCCAACTTTCACAAAAAGCTTCAGTAAAAACTCTTTGGAAGAGTACCAATTCTAAAAATGCACATCCTGTATCACTCAATAACTGGACAAGTCAAATAGAAGCATGTAAAAGTAAGAAGCTGGGGCTGACAAAGACTTAGGGCTTGTAGGATATCTGACTCACATTCTCCGTATCTCCTCTGTATATATACATCTGCCCAAGCCCAAAGTGAGGAAGAACAAAATTTGGAGAGGTCTGAGTTGTTGTCGTCGTAGCTTGGTAGTAGTACTGAAATGCTTGATCAAAGTCTCCCTAAGGAAAGGGGGAAAGAGAAACACATTTACACAAAAAATAGAATCACTGCACAAAAAACGTCCCACAAGAGATATATACCTGAACATGGAAAGCTCTGGCCAGCTGGTAGAAGCTCTCAGCCCTCATAGCTTCATTTTCTGTGTTACTGAAGGCATGCATGGCCAAGTGCTGCACCTTCTCATATTCCTGTTATAGGTAAAAATAATTTTAAATTTGGGGGTGCATATACATGCACATCACATGTTAAGTTGGAACAGCTATTGAATGACTAGGCCAGGTAAACATGAAACACATTCTTTATGGCAATACATCACTGGAAAGCATGAATAGTTCCAGGTTAAAAGTCATATATAAGGAACATCATACCGGGTGGCACAAAAAAAAGCATAGCGTTTGATGCCTTATAAAATCCGTTGTGGATGATCTCAGGTTCAAGATATTTTCATATTACCTTGGAAATACTGCAAAATTTGTTTTATGAAAGTTTCATGTATCTAAGTTGTCTGAATAAATATCGACAGTCACTCATAGTGGAGTCATAAAATGGACCCTATTGCACATGAGGTGGATGGAGTTTCAGGACTGCTTGAATGATCTCTCCCTTGAGGATATGAACATCACTTTTTGCTCCAGTTCCCATTGTAGTATTCTGTGTATCGATTCTGATGCTATGATGTACAACAGTAGTACTATTCTACAATGTGTTGAATACTGTAACAGTATTCAAGGGGGGAAGCAACAAAATCTAACTGGCTGACAAAATAGATAAAATGTTTCAAATGTTTCAATAGGTGCACACACCTTCTCTTCTATCACAAATTTAATTATAGTAAAATTTCAGTTTTTTACTTTAAAAGTTTACATTGTGAAATATGGAGACTTGTTTTTGGCTGAAATTCTGAGAGAAAAAATTCTGAATGTGGTAAATGAATGGCTCTAATTATTACCATCAGGGGCCTGTTCCACAGAAGATTAAAAGTTACAAGTACTTATAAAGGTCATGTTTTTTTGTTTAATTCTTCCAGCAGATTCCACTGACCCTTCACATGACCTAGACATGACCATGTCTAAGCCATGTGAAGGGTCAGTGGAATCATGTCTAGGTATATACAATTTATAACTGCCCCTGGGCTTAGGGCTGAAGAAGCTTAGGAGCCAACCAATTCAGGTTGAGCTGGAAAGATATGCATACATAAATTACCTACAGGAACACTTATGCATTTTATTGCTCTTCATTTTCTAGATTAATGGCATAAATTGAGTTTACCAAAGGTTAAAATCAAGTAAAAATTGAAATACCCTATATTTCATGCCACTAAGGTAAGGTAGAAATCCTTAAAATAAGACCTTTGTAATCAATGTACTGTTACAGTTTCATTCTATCTGAAAATTATCTCTCAGCTGTTTGTAATATTTTCTCACCAAAGTAGAAGACTGATATAATCTCATCAGTCTTGATTTTCGCAACTTTCAACATGGCAGATGGAGTCGCCTGGTTTCCTAATACTCTCGATGCAATTACCTCTGAATTTATATAGAACACTTCAGATGATGAAATGAAACATGTTTTTGCTTACCTTCTTAAAGAAGAAATGATTTGCAAGATGATTGAGCACCATAGGATTTGTGGAGTCAATGGTATATGCTTTGGAGAGGCGATGAACACCACTCCGAATGGACTCAGTTTGCTTTGTGTTCAGCTCCAAAATAGCAAGCCCTACTAAGGCACCCACACACTGTGAATCAATTTGAAGGGCACGCTCAAATGCCAATCTAAAGGAAAAAGGCAAGGAATCTGCTATATAAGAGCTGCACAAATAAGCTCAGGGAAATAGTAAAAACTGCATTACTTTGCTTTCTCCTGATTGCCTAATTTGAGAAATGCATGTCCAAGTCCTAGACGCACTTCTGCTGGACAATTGGGATTTGTTCTCAGGGCTTTCTTATAGAATGCTAAAGCTCCCCTGGAAAGAATAAACACCTTTAATGGAGAACTGTATATAGGTGAAAATGACAGTGAGTTCTCACAGGTCAATTGCCTACTTGTAGTCCTTCTTGTTATATGCAATGCATGCTTTTCCTAACAAGGATGGAATGCTGCTTGGATTCTGGTTAATGACAAAATTGAACTGTGCATCAGCCTGATCCATCTTTTCACCTTCCAGAAGGCAGAAATAGGCTCTCCCCAACAAATGATTCTGAAAGAAAAGTAGAATACAAAGGAGAAATTGAATGATGTAGGTGCATTGGTAAAAGTGGTGATTCTCTATAACACTTTAAGAAAATAGCAGTACCTGGTCATACATGATGATCTTATCTGCTGTGGTATACAAATATGTTGCTTTGGTGAACAGCTCCCTCTTCTTATCCTTATTCTTCTCCTTGTTTGCCAATTGCACATAATATGCAGCCAACATGTCCAGATTCTGCATCTGGTCATTTTCAAATTGTGGATAATCAATGTTGGCATCTGTTCTAGCAACTTCAAGGATCCTCACAAATTCATTGATCTTCTTCTGCTTGTAATATTCTAACTGCAAAAAAATGCAAAGGAGGTTCATATAAAAATGACATATATGAAGCTGAGCTGCTGAGCATACAAAGTACAAGTTTTATAATGTTAATTAGTTTGAAATGTTCTCAACTGATGATTTGGCAATATTCCTGTCTTAGTTGCATTCACAAACTCTTCTTGCAGGAGTATTTGCATTGTATAGTCAGATATTACTGGTATAACCTAATACAGCCTTTCCCACAGTGTGCTGTCAAAAAAGTATGTTTGCCAACATGAAAAATCTGCTCAGATAAAAAAAAAAAAGAAGCAGTGGATTGTTGCCCTTTTCATGTTCATGGTACTGCATGTGTTTGCTGCTGAGAGTCAATAAATGATGCAGTCTACAGATTGTGGGACAAGTATAGATGACAGTCTACATCAAAAACCCAGATTCTATCTAAACTTGGAAAGTCAGTCAACTTCATGTGCACACAAGCCCCAGGGCTTCCCGGAAGTTAGGTACTGTCATCATCCTGTGATGAACCATCTTACAAAAATGAGGGAAATCCACTTCTTCCCTTTAAAAATGTGAAGTTGTCTTTCCATTTCACCTCAGAAAGTTAGAAAATTGAACTGAGAGAGATAAAATATATTCAAATTATGCCTGTTATGATCATACTGGGGTCATTGTGTGTACTGCTGCCAGTCCCTTCAATGAGAGGGTACATACCCCCTAAACCTTACTTGCAATTACTTTTCTCCCAACTATTGGGAGTTCATTTATTTTTCCCTTATTGCCTCACAGACTGCATAGAAGCACTCTGAGCAGCACGGGGCACTTCTGTTGTATAGCATCCAAAATGAAATTATTTATTTTCAATAGCTTTAAAGCAAATTGCAACATAAAGTAACAATCACACCTTCCCTCCTCACAAAGAAAGAATCCATTTGAAATTTTGGAAAATCCCCACCTTGGTTCTACCTATAAATACCATTCTCTTCCCTCCCTCTCATCTCTTTCCTTTTTCTTTCTCTCTCCATCTTCTTTCTTTCAATTGCTTTGCTTCCTTTACTACTACCCAAATGGGCATTCATTTAATTATACATTCAAATAGACATGACCCAATGGAACTCTCATCTGAGAGAGGCTCAGATGAGAGTTGCTTACATTCATGAATTTGCAGCATAAAACAGCATGCAGTAAATCTGCATGAACCTGTAGCACTCACAGCAAGTTGGTTCCAAAGGTAAAGCTGAGCCTGCTCCTGCCGAAGAATGCTGATGACTTCATCACCATCAGGTAGCTGATCAAGGTCCAATTCTATGACCTGTGAAGAGAGAGGGAGAGCATGCTCATCTTAGGGTGATTTATGGTAGGTCTAATTTCTATCAATGCTACTCCTGACAATGACCCCAACAATAAAACTATAGGACAGTGTTGCCTTGCAGGACTCTTCCCTAATTTTGGGGCTCACATTACCAACTGATAAGATCACCAGCCACAAGCACATCATATTGCATCAAGGCAACAACCATATTCTCCACTCTGAACATCATCTGAAGGGATCTGAACCTTACCTCTCCAAGTCAAACTTGGCCTTTCATGTCATCCCTCAAAAAGAGTGGACACAAGGTTCAAATCATATTTTTTATTTGATTTTGACAAACTTTGTCATGTTGGAGAGTTCAAATATCCCTGTTTGTGAATCTGAAGGATGTTTCCATGCCTCAACCATGGTTTTCATGCAGTACCTACATGAGGTATAAGCATTATATCAGGATTAGACATGAAATTTAGCATTGTATCATCAAAAAATCTCATATGCAAAAAAAAATTAATTACAGCATCAAAACATGTATGCACCAGATATAGCCTGCAACAACTGCATCAGAAATAAGCAATAGAGCTAAATATCATATTCCTTACCCAAATTTTGATTTCCACCTCACAAGCATGCAGTGTCAAGTACAGACACAAGAAGCACCTTATGTATTTTTGGTCATGGGCACCATAATTATGGGCATATGAACCTCAAAATACAGTTTTTGATGGTCATCCAAATAATCATTAAACTAACAGAAGATTGATATTCTCCCAGTTTCACTTGGAGAGAAAGATGAAAAAAAAAGGAATAACATGCCAGAGGCCATGAACTCACCTAAGTTCATAAGTGAAAAGTGAACTTTCCATTTGACTAGGACACTCCTGCATGGGACGTTCCTCATGCATGAGTGTCCAATTCAAGAGAAAAAGTCTCTAACTAAAAGGAAAAACACTGCAGAAGAGGACATTTGAGGAGATGGTAATGCATTTAATTGCATCATATCCCCCCCTCTCCTATTACCCACCCCAAAACAAGACAGCTACTCCACCTAAGGCAAAAATCCTTGGCATGTCAATTACTCAAAATTACCTCAGTAAAATATCAGAATTTCAGATAGTCACCGGACCAATCCTTTCCAGACCTGACACTTGAAAGTCTCCACGTCTGACTTGAACCGCTAGCACCTTTTGGAAAGTGCAGCAGACGAGTGTACGAATAAAGTGCGCAGAACTCAAGCAAAACAAAACTTTAGAGACTCTCAGTCAAAAATAAAAATGCTTACTTAGGTCAATATCTGCCTAGCTGCATTAAGCATAACCGAAGCTGAAGAGGGTTTCCACGACCTTGTATATCTCAGGCTAATAGCCTAAGCTTATGATTTCTCCATAGGCTAGCGTTAGATCAAATACATAGGCCTACAATCAAGCCTCTGGCATATAGTCTTTCAAAAAAAAGCGTTAAATAAAAGCCTACAGTCTTTCAACAAAAGGGTTAAATAAAATCTCACCTCATCAGTATCACGAAGAGGGATCTCGATGGAGCCCGCCATCTTTGACAACTGGGTGCTCCGGTTTTTTCTTTTTTTTGGTGGTGGTGATGTGGGAGGATTTTTAATAGGAGTTTCAGGGGGGAAAACGGTTATACAGACTCTCCTCGCCAACCGTATTGAACGTTACCAAGGCGTCGGTTCATCAGTGCAGACGATATGATTATTTAACGAAAGATAGATGAAAAGAAAACAGGCGCACTAAGTTTTCTGTCGAAGGCAAATAAATAAATGTTTTCAACTCAAATTCGTCAACGGTGGTGGAACCCCCACTTCCAAAGATGCGGGACAGCCCCCTTCTCAATAGCGTGGCCAGAGTTTCATGCTTGGGACTTGGAGGAACGGAGGACGTGAAGAGAAATTTCCTGAAGCTACCCACACAGCACAAGTATGTACATCCCAATGATACTCGAGACCCAGATAACAAGTTACATTGGGCCCACATTGAATAAAGATGGGAAACGTCGGCGGAACGTGAATGTTGGGGAACGATGTTGGCCCCATGTGGGCCCAAGGTGGGCATATCCACATGTTGAAAAGAGCTGCAGCATTCCTGGTGGAGAACTTCAAAACCTTGAAGTTCTTCGCCAGGCCACTAGATGTAGGTATGGGGTCTCGCTTTTCGTACAGCACGCAAAAGATCCTTCTCTCTTTCCCTAGAGTCCTTCGCAGGATTGTTTAGTACCTCGCCATATGTCTCGTCTAGTCTCATTATAGGAATTAATAAGCGCGGACATTTCTTCATTTGTTATCCATTTATTCAAGACAGATTCATGGAACTCAGGCCATAAACAAACTCATTCCCGAAAAGATTCCTTTTGAAAAGGTGATCTGAATTACAGGGAGGGCATTCGTAAGTTCAATTCCGCCATTTCCTCATTTCCATTGCAGAATGAGGAAATTAAGGACTGGTGTTGTGGATACTTCATGGAACCGCACGAGGTGGTCCATCCACTGACACTATTCTGTAATCAATACAGGCAGAGGAAGATCCACGTCTGTACTGTCCTATACCTCCTGCCTATCAGGATATATATACATGTCCTTGGTAGGTTGTAGTACATAGTACAGGTTCCGTACTACTGATGGGAATACCTCCACTGGATAGGGAATCTAAGTATATGGTACGAAATGATAACAAAGCAAAAACCAGCTACTTGGGTAAGTGGGTTATACAGGATACGTTGGCCCAATGTAGGTTGTTCACGTAGGCCCCACGTGAAAGTGACCGTTGGGCCAACGTGGGGCCAACGTTGGCAGTAAGTTGGATAGCAACGTACGAGGGTCACTCAATAAGTTATCTACCTGAATAAGAAAGAAACATCCGAGGGAAAAAATAACACTTTATTTTTCAATGTAGTCACCTTTTAACTCAACACACTTATTCCACTTTGATTCCAAGGATTTTATTCCCTGGGAATAGAAGTCAACTTCTTGTCCATCAAACCAATCAGAAACGGCAACTTTCAGCTCTTCATTGCATGAAAATCTTTTTCCCCGCAAAAATTTTTTCAAGTGTCTGAACAGAAAATAATCACTAGGAGCCAGATCCGGACTGTAGGGAGGATGGTTGAGCTCCTGAAAGCCACACTCCCTCACTGCTGCCTGAACTTTCCATGATTTGTGGACGGGCGCGTTGTCATGGAGAAGAAGGACCCCCCTTGACAACTTTCCTCTGCGTTTTTCCTTGATGGCATCATGTAAATTTTTCATGGTGGTAGCATAGGAATCGCCAGTGATTGTACACTTGTCTGGCATGAACTCAAGCAGCAGTAGTCCCTCGCTGTCCCAAAACACAGTGGCCATAATCTTTCCTGCAGATTTCTGAACACGAAATTTGCGAGGCGTTGGCGATCCCTTGTGCTTCCACTGCATGGACTCCTGCTTGGTTTCGGGATCCCAGTGATGAACCCAAGTTTCATCACCAGTTACTATTCTGGGAAAAAAAGTTTCCCCGATTTGTTTAGAAAACTCCAAGTTTTCCTTGCAGATGTCAGATCTGTTCTTCTTCTGAGCTGGAGTCAGCATTCTTGGGACCCATCGAGAACTGACTTTGGACATGTGTAATTTTTCATGAATAATGTGAATCACTGTGCCCTCTGAAATCCCCAGTTCATGAGCTAAAACAGAGACTTTGGTGCGACGATCCTCCAGTATCGCACTCTCCAATTTGTCACACATTTCCTGATCAGAAGCCTCCACAGGGCGCCCCGACCTTGGGTCATCTTCGATTGACTCTCTTCCCCACTTAAACTGCTTGCTCCAAAATTTATCTTGGTAATAAGAAGGCGAAGACACACCATAAACGTTCGACATACGTTCATGAATCTCCTTAGGTGCTTTCCCTTGTTTGGTGAGGAATTTGATCACTGAACGATGTTCAACTTTCGTCAAATCCATGACACAGACTCAGGAAAAGAAATCTAATGCGCTACCACTTTGAACGGACTTGAGCCACTGAGCTGGTATAGTGGTGGGGCACTCACGAGACCTGTCGAGACATGTCACAGCAGGCACAGGCCTGTTGCTCATCCCTTTCATATTCAGGTAGATAACTTATTGAGTGGCCCTCGTAAAACCCACTTACCCGAGTAGCTGATTTTTGCTCTATATCATCATCATTTCGTACCATATATTTAGATATATGTGGGTTCCTATCTGCAATGAGTCCATTGCAGATAGGAACCCACACAGAACAAGTATATCCCTAAGATATCCCAGAGATATCCCCTTGAGAGAAGTGAGAGGTCCCAGAGGACATAGGGATTCTAGGGACATCTTTGGGGTGTCAAAATGTCTGGGCGAAACGACATCCCAGAATGTCCCTTTCTTGAAGAAGTAGCACAGCCCAGAGATGTCCTAGGAATATCCCCTTGGGACAAGTGAGAAGTACCAGGTAGCGCTTGCAGGTGCTTTCCTATCTGCGATGGACTCATTTCTTACCGCTAAGGAGAACTCGTTACTTTCGGAGATGTCTCTATTTGATCTAGGAACACCTAATCTTAAGATCTTGACCGATAGAAGTGTGACAGCTATGGGGGAGGAAAATCCTGTTCCTAAAGGGCCTCATCACACGAGATCATCTCTCTCCATCACTCTCTTTACACAAGAGGTCATGGACGAGATGATTTAGCCTTACACCTTTTGAAAGGTATGGGCTCAGGCCTCCAACCAGGATAGTCGTATCCAAATATGCCGATCGGATGTCATTAAATAGAATATAACGGAATAAATGAAAATTCGGACCGCAATTTCTTCACATTCCCTGGTGGTAGTTTTCCTGATGTACGGTACGAAAATCCTTACTATCTTCAGGACTAATCCAGTAGATAAATTTGATAGAATATATCTGAGGTTGGAGATCAGGACTCATGGGAGACCTATAAGCCCGGTTGTAAGAGCCTCTCCCCCGAGGGGTTATAACCAAGTCAAGCAAGGTAGCGTTGCACCATCTATCTGGACTAGGGTTACCATATTTCGGAGAGCCAAAAGGAGGACACTTTCATTTATCCAGGGAATATGTTTTATTTTTTTTTTAATAATCAAGGTTCCCTGTTCCATGGCTAAACTGAGCAAGATATGAGAAATTCCTCTGAATTTTTTTCCTACGCTATTAAAAATACGAACAAATGCATGTCACACAGGCCTCATACTAATTTTTCGACGCCCATGCATACTCTTCTGTTGAACACATTTTTCGATGTTGATTCAGCAAGTAACCGTGAAAATCTTTTTACAAGACATGTGCCCAAAGTTATACTGCACAAGAATGATCCCTTTCACAGACTCAGCAGCTAAGTTGTTCCTTTCCTGCGTCCACTGGCTTTGCATTAGCAAAACATTCTCTCTACAGTTGCATTGTGAAAAAATAGGAACGAAAAAATCTTCTATCTTTAACAACTCTGAGAGAGTGTCGAAATTTTTTGAGCCCTTGAAGTACTTCACCCATTTTTGGAGCGCTAGCAGAAAGACAAAATCTTTTGGGGTTTTGGGATGAGAAGTTCATCATCTGATGTACCGCTCAAATTTAACTGTGGTTGTTCTGCCCGTTTCCCAAAGCATTAGGAAGGGGGATTTAAAGAAAATGTTGGTTCCAACAGGATGGGACAACTGCCCTTACTGCCCATGCATCAAAGTAGTTGATAATTTTAAAAAGTTATTTCGAACCGTCTCATTTCATTATTTGGAGATTTTTATGGCTGGTGCTGGACGCGAAACTTACTACCCCATAGAAAGCACTACCGTAGTGAAAGTTGCCTGCGCTGAAACCACAACCGTAGTAAAATTCGCGTACGCAGGACCCATCATCGTCACGCAATAATTACTACTGTGACCCAAGACTGTTTGCAATGGGCTATAGGTTCGTCTATCTCTTTTCCAATCATCCATGTCCAGACTCCAGGGTCAGGATGGGAGATAACCACTTCCCTGAAACCTTGACCTGATCTGTCAGATACTTATCGGTACAGGAATTGAAACACAAAAAGACGGGCGTAAAGATTACAATTGCACCAGTTCAGTGGTTCTCCGGTGGAGAAAACGTATCTGTGGAGAGATGGCTGACCATAGCTACGAGTCGATCGCGACCAACCTCCGCCATCGGGAGTACCTCGAGTCCATGAAGAAAATGACTGTGAAGCCCATGGCAGTAACTTAGAGTAATGGTCAGAAATGTGTGGAGAAGATTAACGTGCGAGGACATTTGTCAAGAGTCAAGAGTCGAGATAGTTAGTGACATCAAGAGGCGATTTCGCCCATTTCGATATCACGTGTCGAGGTCGACCTTTCCTTAATTTTAGGGTAGGCCTAACCCTCTTAAAGCTAAATATATATATTTTTTACTATCCTAGTTGCTTACTGTCTAGTACCTAAAGTCAACATTGCCCCCCACCTTTTTGCCTGTCCATGAAAGCATTTAGTTTCTTCTTAAAGATAGTCACAGAAGGGGCAGCCACTACTTCGTCATCTAACGCATTCCACGCGTTCACCACTCTGCAAGTAAA